ACTTGGCCTAGTATTGCTGGAGCTCAGCACCCGAGCCTGCCATTGGCGCTGTGATTTCTTTTCAGTCCTTCACTGAGGGAGACAGGGCTGTTAAACCTTTACTTCAACCACTTCCTTGCTGTGTGGCCTTGAACAGGGACTTCGCCTTTCTGAACCCTCTTCCACATCTTTGCTGATGATAACACATCTAGCAATGGGCAGTCTTACAGCATTTTCCAGCTTTCTAAGCACACTCACATAAATTCATTTAAGACTCTCTACAAACTGTGGAGTGGATGAGTGGGCAAGATGGTATTACTAGCTCCATTTCAGAGAAGAAGAAATTAAATTAAATATAAGCAGTGTGACTTCTCTAATGAAACAGCTGCTAGGCTTCCTGGCTTAGGGCTCCTGACTCTAGGACACCAAGCAGACAGGCATCTCTTATCGGAGTCTGTAGGAAATGTCTGAGCCAGAGTCAGCAATTTTAAAGTCGTGGTTGTGTGGATGCAGAGGGCATTTGGCTTCCATGAGTTTTCTGACACCTACAGAAGCGGGACTAAGGAGGGCAGGAGTTCCTATAGTTGATCCTGTATTCTGTTTCTACTATAAACCAGAAAAAAAAAACCAAAACCCAAACTCATTGCCATCGAGTCAATTCTGATTCAGAGCAACCCTATAAGGCAGGGTAGAACTGCCCCCACAGGGTTTTCAAGGAGCGGCTGGTGAATTTGAACTGCTGAATTTTTCGTTAGCAGGCGAGCTCTGAACCACTACGCCACCAGGGCTCCAGGGATTTCTGCTATAGTCTGATGCAAATTCAAACCTCAGTACCTTTTGCTCTTAGAAATACAATAAAAATCTGTCACTCTGAAGCCACAATCCAAATTGATTGTTGGGAAGAAAAACATAAGATTTGACAAGGTGAGGTTTCTCTGGAACCCTTCAGGGCCTACAAGACCATTCCAGGAGCTGATGGCTAGGATCCTTTTTAGATTCCGATGTGACTATATTTCAGACCAGTCACTGCTCAGGATCTGAAGAAATGGACCAGGGAAGTGCTGGTCGGGTTCCAAGGTGAGCAAGGGCTCTTCTAGCTGGGGTGGGAGGCAAGGAGGGCAGCGGAAGCAGCATTAATGCAGGCTGATTATTTTTTAGGGAGCTGAGCAGGAGCAGTCAGGAAGGGATGAGATTTGGGGCCAGGGTGCAGTTTCGATCCAGACACACAGGTTTAGATGCCCTTACCAGCAAAGGGGACTTGGACCCTCTCTCACGTGTAACGTGGGTGCAGGAAGGGCTACACCTTGGTACTGTTGTCAGGGCCCAGGTTTCCGCAGCACCTGCACAGTGCTTGACCAGAGCAGGTACATGTTAATTCCATCCACCTCTCCCCCACCCCACTTCTATAAGTGGATCACGCATCTAGAAAGTATGACATTCCCTTTCATCTAAACAAACAAAACTGCCTTCTTGGCAAAATCAGATTAAATTAATTTTTAAGCCGAAAGAGGACTCTGCATGAATGTGAGCCCATTGGCTTTTTTCCCTCTGACCTCCACTCCTCCCCCAAACACACACACACACATACAAGGAGCTGGAATGCCGTGGGGGCAGGAAGGCCAGGCAGTGACAGTCCCAGCATCCTGCTTAGACTAAACCTGGAGGCCGAACAGGCCGTTATGAACCCCCCAGGGATTGGAGTCTCTTCCCTTTGCCCCCACAGGCACTGAAAAAGCAGCAGGCAGGCATAGTGCTTGGCCACACCACCCACCCTGCTCTGTGAGGAAGGGGGACCGTGTGTCCCCAGAGGGTTCTGGCAACACAGCCTGCCAAAGACCTCCCATTCTGCCTTCCTTTTGGAGAAGAAAGGAAGGAAATTGGAGAAGGGAAAGAGGAGGAAAGAAGAAATGAAAACAAATTGATGGAGGGAAGGAAAGAGAGGAGAGAGAAAGAGAAGGAGAGAGACCTGGAACAAGTGTGAAATCCGAATAACAGACTCAGGATGGTGAGATGCATGTGAACAGAGTGTGACGTGGGCAACCCCCCACAAATAGTCCTTCTGTTAAAAATAGCGTTTGTCTAAATGTGGAAAGGGTGTAAATATAGTAGCGGTTTCGACTTACTACGGAGCCGCCCCAGCTCCAAGTCACAGAGGCTTATTATAGGACGCGTGCGTCAGCAGCAGGAGAAGAGGGGAGGGAAAACAGACAACCCTCCGCTCGGTACAGTACCCACCACAGTCCAGGGGTCAGCCCGCCCGCCCCTCTCTTGTTGTGGAGCCAGACAGGATGGGTCGCTGTGAATGCTCGCACAGAACTCCACGACTGGACAGAAAACTAGCTGAGCTGGGAAGGAAGGAAGGAAGGAATCTCTGTGCTGAAAAGGATCTGGGCAGGATTGTTTTGGAAATGCAGCTCATTTGCATCTGGGGTTTCACCAGGGAGCTTGTCCACTGTCCAACAGGCTGCTCACTCCTGGAGACAGCAGGAACTTTTCATATGAATCCCATGCAATGGCCAGCATGCAGACAAGCCAGTTTCCTCAGCCCTGAGTGCAGGGGACAAAACCCCTAGAAACCTGTGGAAAATGCTGGAAGGAGTTTGATTCCAGTCTTTTAAAAAAGACTTTGGGATTTTTATCACTATGTTTCCAGCGTTGTGCAATCAGTAGGTGAACAGGGCATAGGGGCTGTTTTACTGAGTTAGACACCTGAGCGTTTCCTTGTATAAAGCATGACCATGGGGCACAGAACTGTTCTGTCTGAAGCTTACTGGTCTCCATTTCCTTGATATAGTTGACCAAGGGTTGACTGCCCATGTGGCTGCAAAGACCTGCTCCTGGCTGCATGTCTCCTATCTACCCCTTAGAGGGCCCTCATTATCTTTCTGGCTGTCACCCTTTAACTCATGTTTTTTCTCCTGCCCAGCACATGCATACATCACACACACACACACACACCAACATTCAATTAGAGATCTGAGGTCCATTTCCAGCAATAGCCCTCATACCCCTTGCTTCGCCCCTAGCCTGGCCCCTTGTCCCCACTGAGCCCCTTGGTTTGCCCTACTCCAGCCCTCTGGCTCTCTCTTTTTATCCCTAGGCTTGAGTTTGCTCTTTGGATTTAAGACAAACCTGCCTCCACTGGGTGGGACTTCAACCCTTCTTCTTAGACATGCTCATGTTTGCTCTCTGGTTCTGCCCCTTGAAGTCAACCTGAGTGACCCCCTCACTGACTGAGATCTTGCCCTAGGACCGGACACTGATGCCTTTATCACCTCTCACCTACACCAGTACCAGAGACTGGCCCTATCCTTCCAGCCTCTTGGAAGTTCAGCATCTAAACTTCCCTTAAAACTACTTTTCTAAAATGCAAGCCCGATGTTATCACTGCCCCACTCAAAATACCCGAGATGACTCTTCATTGTGTACAGGGCAAAGTCCAATTTTTAAAGCCCCGACTTGACTCCCATTTGCTTTTCCAGCTATGTCCCCTGCTACCCTACACCATGCAGCCTACGCACAGCGGCTGGAGATGACCTATTGCCCCCTGGCCATGCCTCTTCCATCTGTGCCTCTGCCTGGGCCCATGCTCTTTCCTTAGGCTGCCATGTCTACCCTCCAAATCTCTGCACATTGAAATCCTACCCACCCTTCAAGGCCCCAGCTCCAGAAGGCTACCCACCTCCTCTGGGAAGTCTTTTTGGCTTGCGCCTCCCACACTGTCACCTTCTTTTTCACTCCTACTCTAAACTCTAAGTCACTTTTGTATGTTTAGAAAATAAATCAAGAGGCCCATTATAGTGTCTGAGTGAGGTGCTCTCCCATGTGCTCCATAGACCCTGTATGTCTCCTAGTGCTGCTACAGCAGAAATTCCACCAGAGGGTGGCTTTGAAGAGAAGAAATTTATTTTCTCACCATTCTGGAGGCTAACAGTCCAAACCAGGGTCTTCCTTCCTTGTCAGTAGCCCTGGGCATAGCTTGATTACTTGAGGATCCTTACATGGCATCTGTCTTCCCCAACTGGTGCTTCCTTGTCTCTGTGTCTAAGCTGTTCGTTATATAATTTAGATGTGATTAGGTTTAGGATCCACCTTACATTGGTATGACCTCAACTGATTGATTGACCACTTTACATTAGATTGCATTATGGAAAGTGATTACATTACATTAGATTCCATTGCATTATATCCACAGGTGTACAATTTCAATACGTATTTTGGGGGAACACAATTCAACCCATAACATCTCTTCTACCAGAATGCTTGTACATTCTGTGTTGCAGTTGCCTTCCCACCATTGGTCTCCCCTACTAGACGATGACCGTTAGGTTGGGATCTAGACTCCTTGTTCAGGCTGTCCCAGTGCCTAGCACAGTGCCTGGCTAGTTGTACAGATGAAAAGGACTTACAGGGTTCTCTACTTCCTCACCTTCTATAGATGTTTCCACCTATTTCCAGGCTCCTCTGCTATTTTCCACTGACCCTGCCATGGGCCCCCAGTACAGGGATGAGGAACACATGGATAAACCCTGAGACTCTGTCATGAAGTTGGAAGACCTGGGTTAGTCTCAGCTCTGAGTCTTAGCTGTCTGCCATTAGGCAAGTCACTTTACCTCTCTGAACAATTTCCTCTACCTTGAGAAAGAGTCACGTCAATCACCACCTAGGGATGCTGTAAGGATTAAGGGAGAGAGTGGAGCTGAAAGTATTTGAGGAACTGTACAGTGTAACATGCTCTACAAATATCGAGCCTCATTACAGCCCTCCCCCACTCTCCACTAGCGGCCATACTTGGAACCCTGCCCAGACTCTAGCCACGTTGACTCCAGCTGCCATTCAGGCCCCTAAGGATGTCCTAGAAGGTACGGGTTCCACCTCTCTGTGTTAACAGCTTGAAATCTCCGTACGCTTCTGATTACCAGGGCCCTTTTGAGCACATGATGATTTTCTTCCTCAAAATTCTTCAAAAGAAAAAAGGCTTGAATGGCAGTCAGGACTGGCAGAAGCTGAAATCTCTTTGTGAACCGAGGAAGGAGGCTGCCAAAGGAAAGAGGAAGAAAGTCGATATGCTGATAGCCAGGCTGGTGCTCGTCCAGGTAAGTCTACCTGCCTTGGCCCAAAGAGGCCCTGTCCTGTACTTGGCTGGTCCTGCAGGCTCCCAGGATACAGCAGGACTAGTGGACGGCTTGGAAAACCAAGTCTTTGGACAGATCATATCTTCTACCTAGAGAATGGTAATACAGTGGAAAGAGCTGAGCTGTAGGTTCACAGAGCCCAGCTGAACAGCCCTGGTCTGCCCTCTTACTGGCAGAGTAAACTTGAGCAAGCCTCCTAACCTCTTAGAGCCCCAGGCTGCTCGTCTGTAAAATGGGGGACCATTTTGGTGAGTACCCAAATCAAATGTGATCATTTATGTGAAGTTTTCAAGCACAGTACCTATGCTTGATAAATGGCAACTGAGACCAATTCCAAATCTATTTCTCCAGACTACTGGTTCATGCTGCCAGGAAACGAGCAAAAACAAATGATTCAGAAAACGAAAGTGTTGCAGTAGATAGTTCCTAAAAAAACATATCCTGACCAGGACAAGACTGCCTCCACATGACAGGCTGTAAAACTTGCCATGGCAGGAAGGCTTTTGAGGAAGGATAGGAAAGAGGATCTCCTGTAGAAGTATATTAGAAGAATCAGATGCCCCAGTTGCTTAGAATATCCAAAATGTGTGCATAGCTATAGCCCATTATATAGACTTTCTTAATGATTAGGATGCAATATATGTTCCTAGATGGCGCACACTAATAGAATAGAATTATATTGAGGGGGTTCTGGAAGTAGGAGCAATCAATCATCAGACATCAGTCTATACTTCTCAATGTATAGCTTCCTCCTCTATCTTCATTTTTCTTGTACGTGTACATCTATATGGTTTCGTGCAATAAATGGTCATGTGAGTAGGTAGAGGAGGGGTAGAGAAGAAGAGCTCATATTTTAAGGGAAAACATACCTGGTTCAAACCATGACTCTGCCTTATATTATATCTGTCTTATACGCTGGGGAAAACATTTAAGCTGAAAAGAAGATAATACCTATCCACCTACTTACTTATCTGCCTCAAAGAATTGCTGTAAGGATTAGAGATAACAGATGTAAAATGCTTAGCTAATTGTATCATTGTATAAATTCACACACACATCCATAGATATAAATGCTCATCCACATATGCAGATATACCCATTCACATCCATACACACTAACAAATACCTATACACATACCTATACACATATACATTCAAATATAGACACAGACACCTGGCGTGTGCACCTTTGCTATATAATTTAAGCAAGAGGTGGGAAATATTGTTTCTTCCAGAGCTGGGGTCCTAAGACATCAATGAGCCCAAGTTCCTATAATGTTCTGGGTGAGAGGACCTTGGATGTGGAGGTAAAGGGCTCCTGGAGTGGAGACGTGAGCCTGGGCCAAGCCCCTGATGTGGGTGCCTAAGGGTAAGACGTCAGGATCGGGTAGGTATGGCAGCCATGAGAATACACCGTGCAGACAGGGAGCACAACTGACCAAGGTCCCAGTGGCTGTGCACCCCTATTTGTGTTGAAGTCACACTTCTTACGGGCTGCTCCCAGCCAATCAGTGACTGAGCGTATCAGGGATGCTAAGGCAGATCTGTCTCCAAGGGACAGGTGACTTCTCTGACCAGTAACTTTGGCTCAAGGATGCCTGGATGGACTGGCTGAATCTTTCTAGACCATAAGGCAATCTAGAATGCTTTCACTCACACTTCCTTCCCTCTCCCTGCTACATTCAGGATTATTGGGGCTCACTTGAGGCCCCATCATGGTGTGAAGGCTCTCTCCTCAGCCTCTATCAGCTCTCACCCTATTTTCTCTTACGGGTGTTTCCTCTAGTAAATTTCTTGTCTAGTCCGGCCTTGGCATCTGCTTCTAACACCATAGGGAAATGTGGAACCCCAGGTCACAGAGGAGCCCAGGATTAAGAAGTCACAGAAACCCAGAGGAGCAGAGCAAAGAGGGAAGAAGCCCAGACTTGATATCTCTCATTGCACATACTGTGTTCCACTTCACCCGCACAAGCAAACTGTGAGGTGGGGGTTATTAGCCTCACTCTTCCAGCTTCTGGTGGCTGTAAAGTGAGAAAACCAAGCTCTGAGAAGCCCAAGATCGTAAGATTTGAAAGCAGCAGAGCCTGGTAGGAAGCTCAGGCTTGCTGACCCCCATACCTGCTTGTTTTTGCTCTGCACTGCCCATTAAGCACCCCACCAAGGGCCTTCACAAGCCTGATATCACATCCTCAAGTTCCCTTGTGAAGAGAGGGAGATTACCACCCCCATTTCACAGATGAGAAACTGAGACTCAGAGAGGATAGGTCATCTGCCCAAGGTCACTTGGTTAGTAAGTGAACGGGAGGGGAGGAATTACAACCCTGGTCTCCGGTCTCCCAGCACAGGGCCACACCTCTTTTGTCCCCTCCTCCAAGCCTACTTCAGTCCCTGTGTTGCCTGCTCCTCCTGCTGCTCCCCACAAATTCTCATTTCTCCCGTCTTTCTAGGAGACTGGGCTGGATGAGGCAGGGCAAAGGAGGCCAGGCTGAACCCAGTGCACACGGGAACCTGGGGTGTGGGGAGAGCTCCCACTCACTACCATTGGAAACCCACCCGCTGAGCCTCCTTCCTGCTCGCTTGGAAGTGCTCTAGAGTTTCTGTGCTCACAATGCATCTCCTTGGAAGTCTGCCCTCTGAGGGTTGCCATGGTGACTATTTTGGTACTGCATGCTAGAAAAAGCAGAGGCACCTGCTGGTCACACCACCAAAACTCGTCTCTGAAAAATCAGCAGATGGCATTTGTCAGAAATTCCTACTTCTTGATTAATTTGGGGGAAAAGAAGAGTGTGTGGCAGTGCTGATACCCTTTAACCCGGACTAGCTGTGTCGCTGGCTGGGGGGAGATATGAAACAGTTGTGCACGGACCTCACACACTTCTTCTGAAGTGCTGGGTTACTTTGTTTTGCCAGAGAGATGATGACTGGTGATTTGAATTCTAGTAAATGAAAACAGCAGGAAGACCAAGACGTTGCCTTCATATTAAGAGGCGTTGGGATTTCAGGGTCAATTTTACTTCTAGTAACTTCCATCAGTTCTCAAACATGCCTCAGGTTGGGCCCAGCTTTTAATTAGAGCAAAACGTTAAGATCCCAAGTTTGATCTCAATCTGCTATCCATTGTGTGATCTTGGACAAGTTCCTCAACTCATCTAAACTTCAGTTTCCTCATCTGTAAAACAGTGACGGTAATAGTAGTAAATAAGATAGCTATTGTTATTATGTTATTATTGTTGTTACTATCTAGAATAAAATTTAGGTGTGGAGAATCAAGAATGGCAGGGATTGACCAATCCACAGGCTCATAGTGAAATATGAAAACAAATCAATTAATTTCACTGTCTCAGTCTAGGCGGTGACATTACAGTTGGAGCAACATAAAAGAAACAAACTTCTGTATACTGTATACAGTGCGCACACTGTACACTGTTTCTAACTTAATTGTTATCTGCTCTGCTTTCTGTAGGAACTTGTTTCCCCCAACTCTCACATTGCAGCTTTCACAAGCCCTTTTCACAGTTTGCAATACCATTTGTTCCCAGTGTTACTTAGCAAACTTTGACTATAGGTGTGAACTGATTCCCTAAGCATGCATTGACTAAAACCCACCTGAAAACCAGCGGCTGTTGTGTCCATTCTGACTCATGGTGACCCCATGTTTGTCAGAGTAGAACTGTGCTCCATAGAGCTTTCAATGACGGTGATCTTTTGGAAGTAGATTGGCAGAACTTTCTTTTAAAGTGCATCTGGGTGTCATCAAACCACCAACCTTTTGGTTAGTAGCTGAGTGCTTAACTGTTTACACCATCCAGGGACTCCTTGCATTGACTATCACTTCTAAATTTTGGTCTAGGCACTTTTGAAAGTCTTCTTTAGAATCAGTTACATAGTTTTTCACTCTTCTTTTACCTGTTGGTTCTCTATGGAGAACAAGCCTCAAGTTCACCACCAACAATTCTGTGCTGTGACGAGGTGTGGTAAGTCAGGGATGATAAAACCTGGGCAACCACTCTCCCATCCCATGGCCATGGTAGACATTGCTAATCAATCACAGTACTCTCCCATTGATCCCTAAAGGGCCTGAGAACCTTCCTTAAGGGAGTTCTCAGAGTAGCCATGATTAGTTGATCAGAGTTAGCACAGGAAAGAAAATCTATTTGTTACTCCTGGTGTAGGGGAAAGAACCCTGGAATGGAAGTCTGGAAAGCTATTTCTGATCCCAGTTATGCGTTTAACTAGTTTTCACCTTATGAACTTATTTTAAAAACCAAGCCCTATGTAAGAATAACCTCACATATTATTTATTATGATTATGAACAGCAACAAGCATTTATTGAGCAAGTAGTATGTGCCAGGCCACAGTGCTATGTGCTTTACATATGTTATCTAATCTAATTCACTCAATAATCAGTAGTGTCGTTATTCCTATTTTCAGATGAGGAAACTAAAGTACAGAGCAGTAAAACAACTTGTCCAAGGTTGTAGCTGGCACATGGCCAGGTGAGGATGTAAACTCATGTTTTGTAAATACAAATACTCTGTCTTAACCAATAAACTCTACCGTCCTTGCGGAACTCACAGCCTAGTAGGGCAGCTGGCAATTTGAAACAAATAATTGCAACTGGTTGGAAAAGTGCTAGAAGAGGTGACAGTGTAATTAAGCTTTTCACAAACCTGTCCTCTCCCCTCTACTCTCTTGTTAGCGACTGGTTGGCAGGAACCAGATCCTAACCATCTTGGTTCGCCTTGCACAAGTTAGGTGCTCGGTAAATATTTGCTGGTTTGTTTGATTCAAGTGAGATATAACTACTCTCTCAGATGGAGCTTGGTGTCTGAGCTAATGATTTCTCTAGTGTGGATTACAAACCCTGAGGGTATGTTCTTGTTTCTGAAGTGGGAGCCAGAAATGCCAATCTCTGTTTAAGGATGTAAGAATACTCAAAATAGAAAAGATGTTTATTGCAGTCAAATTTGCAAAACATGGGCTCCTGGGTTTCTGGGTCATTTGCAACTGGCTACTTTGGGTTTTTGTATGTTCCAAAAAGTTTCTGGCTGTTCTGTTTCCCTGAGTAATGAATTAAAACGCAAACTAAGAAGGCAGATTGTATCTTTGCAATGAAAACCCCACGAGCTACATTTCATATGGAATAGATTCTACATTTCATATGTAATAGATTGTACCAACCTGACCCCGCTTCCCCAGTCCTAGTGCTCATCCATCTAAGCTTGGACACACCCAGGGAGAGGGAGGTCACCACCATTCATTCCATCTTTGGGAAGGCCTAAACCTCAGAAAGAGTCCCCTTGGTAGGTGAAATCTTCTTCCCTACAGCTTTCTTCCACTTACCCTGCCTCCCCAACCAGGACTATGCAAGGCTCCTTCTGCTTCCTTTGCCTCAAAACAGTCCTTTTAAGATTAGATTTCCACCACTGCCATGGTCATGATTCCCTTAAACATCCACCATAGAGTATTATTGTCAGTCCTCTTGCAGCCTGATCAATCTTCAGTCGACATAAGTGTGACACCCAGAACCGAACAAAGTACTCTAGCTATGGTTTAAATAGCACAATAAACTTGTACGTTGCACTTCAAAACATCTGTCTTGTTTCTGCAGCCACACTCACCTATAATGCCGCTTGAATGTACAGTGAACTGATCCCACAATTCTTTCTCTTGCTATTGCTGCCAAGACAGAGTGCCAGTGACCCACAAGAAGTCAACATCAGTCCCAGGACTTTGAGAACAACTTGGAAACTTCCATGACTGGGGAAACGCAAGAGTATTGCAAAGCACAGAGGTGAGTCTCTTCTCCTTGCACAAGTCCCAGGATGTATGGGCAGGATTCACATGATGAGAACAAGCCCCCAGGAGAACAGGTAGATGCAAGAAAGAACAGAGAAAGGACATTGGCCCAGGAGTCAGGAGATTTGGGTTTGACACATGTGATTCCACTTACAATGAACTAGAGATGCCAACACCTGCTCTGCTCACTGTGAGGAAACATGGTGGGGACAAAGTGTCATATAACCTAAATAATGCTTGGTAACCTCCAGCCCCACCTCATTAGGTCATATGGACAAGAAACACGAGTCTGACATCCAGAAAGCAAAGCAAACATATCTATTTCTTTTTTTTTTTTTAACTGAGGTCTGTTTTCAGGAGTTAAAATGGAGAGATTTCATTGAGTGCATCACAGCGAAATTCTTCCTTGCCCATTTATCTCTCCTGTCAGGGATTGAATTGTGTCCCCCCAAAGTATCTGTCAACTTGGCTGGGTCATGATTCCCAGTATTGTATGATTGTGTACCATTTTGTAATCTGATGTGATTTCCCTATGTGTTGTAAACTCTATCACTATGATGTAATAAGATGGATTAGTGGCGGTTATATTGATGAGGTTTACAAGATCAGATAGTGTCTTTGCCAATCTCTTTTGAGATATAAAAGAGAGAAGTGAGCAGAAACACATGGGGACTACCTACCACCAAGAAGGCAGCACCGGGAGTAGAGCGCGTCCTTTGGACCTGAGGTTCCTGCGCTGAGATGCTCCCAGACCATGGGAAGACTAATGACAAGGACCTTCCTCCAGAGCTGACACAGAGAGAAAGCCTTCCCCTAGAGCTGATGCTCTGAATTTGGACTTGTAGCCTACCAGACTGTGAGAAAATAAATTTCTCTTTGTTAAAGCCATCCACTTGCGGTATTTCTGTTATAGCAGCACTAGATGACTAAGACATCCCCCAAATCACCATACTCTGATAGCTGCACCATTGCACCCGTATAGAAGCTTTCTTCTTCCCCCATGTCTCTCCACAAACCTGCAAATCAAACTGTCTTAAAAGGAGGCGGACCAGTGAATAGAAACCAAATTCTTGGTTCTCCTCTCCTTTCTTTCTTCCCCCTTTAACCTTGTTCATATTTATCCCATTCTTCCAAAAGTGGCTTAGAAAGATTTCACAGACAAATAAGATGCATGTTTTGGTGGGAAGGGGCTGTGCTTGTGTAGCAGCATTTACTCACCTAAGCAAATTAGCACTTCTGTCCTCTCTCACCCTTCCATTCACACTGCAGGAGGGTATATTAGCTTTGGGTTGGGGTGGAGGAGGGTAAAAACAAACACAAAAAAATCCTGGGTTCAAATTCCAGCTCATCCTCTTGTGAGCTGAGTGATCCTGGGCCAGTCATTTAACGTTTCTGAGCCTCAGTTTCATTACCTGTAAAATGGGATAACAATACCTTCCAAGATTTTGGAAAGATTAAATGGGATAATAAATATACATGCCTGGAAACAATATACATACTCCATAGCGAGTCACATTCAGGCAGCAACATTGTGCGGGGGTCTAGGAGACATTGCTCATGTGACTCAGATTGAGTCTGTGTCCTGGAAACATTTCTGATACAGTGGGAGAGTCAAGACAGGTATACCAATACATCTAACAGAAAGTAGAATGTGCTAAGAGTTCAGGGGAAGACAGTATAAGCCTGTGAGAGGGACTAGGATAGGCAGAGCCCAGGAGACTCCCTGGAAAGGTGGGGTTTGAATGGATCTTTCTGGATGGTCAGATTTGGCCATAAAGGGAAACAGAGGAAAGGCAAGCATGGCATATGTACAGGGAGAGTTGTGACACAGAATTAGGTGGTAAGGCTGTAAAGGGGGTAGTAAGTCAGTATTAGTCTAATTCAGGGCTAATTAATTAGTTTCAGAGGTGGAGTTACAAACACGTTGTCTAAATGGACATTTACACAAATATGAGCAAAAACCAGTCTAGAAAGCTTTAATGCTGCCTCCCATTCCCCCAAGACCAAGTGGAAAGAAAGAGAAGGATCCCTGGGCAAAGAGGGGTCACTGTTTCTCACCCCTCTGACAGGTTTCATGCCAATGACTCCTCTAGAGGGTAGAGACAGTCTGACAGTCTGTGGGTCCCCAGGGAAATGGGGTCTTTCTGCATCCCCTCACCCCGCCATGTGGCCCTCCTGTCAGCAACAGTAGCAGGATCAGGTGTGGATATCAGGCTGTCTCAGAGAAATGACTATCACCTCTTCTTCTCTTTTATGGGCCAGCTTGGTGTAGCCCTAACTTTTTTTTTTTTTAATTTTTGGTGGCAGTATATAGAACCAGACATACATCTGTTCACAGTGTCTACATGTACAGTTCAATGACGTTGCTTATATACTTCACATTGTGTCACTGTTCTCACTATCTCTACTCAGATTATTACAACACAGTTTAGTCTCTCTGCTCCTTAAAGTTCTCTACTTTAGATTAACTATTATCGTTTGAACTCATATAGATAATTCTTCATAAGAGCACAATGCTCAAGGCAAACATTCTTTATTAATTAAGCTTAACTGTTGTTTAGTTTAATGATGGCTTCATGGGATAGTTTTGGTTCAAGGTTTAAAGATTATTTCTAGGCAATAGATTTGGGGGTTCCCCCAGTCTCTCTGGATACAGTAAGTTTGGTTTCCATATGAATTTGAAGTTCTGTTCCCTGATTTTCCTCTTTTTGATCAGGATCCATGTATTGGGTCCTTGATCAAAACATCCCATAATGGTAGTCAGGCACCACCCATTTCTTCTTATCTTATGGCAAAGGAGGTAATAGTTCATGGAGGCAATTAAACCTGCAGTCTATTACCTTCTCCGATTCCTGGGTCTCCTTCTTCCTCTGCTGTTCCAGGTGAATAGAGACTAATTGTTATATTTTGGGAGTAGCCCTAAATTTTATTGAGAATACTCTGTTATTCAGGCTGGATGTCCAGGCAAGAGTAACCATCAATTCTTTAAAAATGTATAGCCAAAAACCTGTCATGCTTTTAACATTTCAAGCATAGCCTTGGTTCCTAAATATAAACGGCTGCATTATAACCAGCTTACATCCACCATTTTTATATTTAAGGTCTGCCTGCTTCAACTGCTTTAGCACAGTGTTATCTGCTTGTGGACTCCAGGTCCCCAAAAAGATTTTCCCCAGGACTCCTACGGAGATCTGTGAATGCCATGTTCAGGCAGCTGAAGGGGCTTTCTGTAGGTTCAAAAGAAGGAAGCTGTATGAGATGTGGTGAGAGAGATCCAAAGCAGATCTGGCTCCAGGAAGGTGAAGAGCACACTCGCAGAAAGACCAGTTGGGAGGGAGGATGGGAGATATCATAATTACCCAGAGGAAAAGCCTAACGAGGCTGGACCAGGCAGGGGACAGAGGAGAGGACAAAATCAAGATATAAAATTAAGGATAGACCATGACTCTAAAGAGGTGAGGTGGATCCCAGGCACAGGGAAAGTCCTTAAAAAGGATATAGGGCACTTCTTTCATGCCATTAAGCTGAGGGAGTTCTTTTCCAGTGGATTCTATTTTCTCTATAAAATAAACCTGTTGCCATCGAGTTGATTCCAACTCATAGTGACCCTATAGGACACAGTAGAACTTCCCCACGGGGTTTTCAAGGAATGGCTGGTGGATTCGAACTGCCAACCTTTTGGTTAGTAGCTGAACTCTTAATCACTGCACCACCAGGGCTTCAATAGGTGCTGACATTCTCTGGGAGTTAGGTGCTGGGGTGGAGGTGGGAGAGCCCCAAATGGAATGCCTAGGGGTAAGGGTGCGGTAAAGACCACAGAGGCAGGCAACAGGCATTAGGAGCTATTCCAGGAGAGGCTCTGCCTGTTCATACCCTCCATTCCCCTGTCTCCCCCATCGAAGAAAAGTGGTAAGTACAGATTGCCAACTAGACCACAGGGAAAGAGTCTAGGTCTCTCTGGGTGTCATCAGAAGGCATAAGGAATTTAAGGGATCATTACCTCCCGAAAACTGGGAGCTCTATCACATTTTTCCATCACTGGAAAATGTTGTTAGCTGTCGTGGAATAGGTCCCTGACTCATGGTGACCCCATGTGCAATGAAATGGAATGCTGTCTGGTCCAGCACCATCCCCATGAAGGGTGGCAGATCTGATCATTGTGATTCGTAGGGTTTTCAATGGCTGGTTTTTGGAAGTAGATCACCAGGCCTCTTTTCTTAGTTAGTCAGCTCCACTGAAACCTGCTTAGCATCATAGCAACACACAAGCCTCCACTGCCAGATGAGTGGTGGCTGCTCATGAGGTGCATTGGCCACGAATCGAACCTGAGTCCCCTGCATAGAAGGCGAGAACTCTACCACTGAACCACCCCTGCCTCCTCATTGGAAAATAATGTACGTGAAATGCATAGCAAGATGTGGCAAGGGATAGATGTTAATTCACTGCTTCTTTCATTTTTTCCTAATTTTTAGGGAATTCTATCTTTAGAATGTTCAAGCTGGACAGGCTCATGTAGTCAAATCCTCACATTTTGCCACAGGGAAAAGAGGCAAATGCATTACAGAATGACGGCTGCTCCAACAGGACCAGTGAGTTCATCTGGGAACACTTGTGAAGGACACTTAATCCCAGCTAGGGCACCAGGGAAGACTTCCCTGGTCTTCTCCTAATACGGATGGCAGGAAAGAGGCTAGTTAGTTCCCAGGGCTGGAGGCAGCAACTGGACTTCGTGGATGGGGTGGATGGGAAAGCTCCGGATCAGCTTCAACCACTGCCCACACCCTGCCTCATAGTGCGTTGCCGCCTCCCCTGCCCCGCTTTGCCCCCAGGCCCTGCCTCCCTCCTGGACTTCTCTGGTAAGCATTTGCACACACCCACACTGACTTTGAGCCATGACTGCCCCTGGGGATGGTCTTACAGGGTGGAAAGCTCTTAGGATACTTTACTGGGACTAGAATTTCATTGTGGAAAATCTCCCCAGGCTCCAAACCGCTGACTCATCCTTTGAGCCTTGTCCAGGAAATCAGTTTCCAAGACTGCACAAACTCACATGCAGAAAAGCTATCAATATGTTCACATTTGTATCCATGTCAATCTCCTTCCCTTATTCCTTGATATAATGAGTTATCTAATTATGGTGACATCTGTTGAGGAGGAATGTAGCGTCCCTCTCCCCACTCAGAACCCAGTGCAGGGCTCTTTTGGGGGAGATCATATGCTTCAGGGTTTGTGTAGGAGAGGCAGAATCCCAACAGGAATCAGCCGGCACTGTTGCATGGCTTTTGCTATCCCCAATAGCCAGCTACCCTATACAACAGCACCATCTCTGAGACAGGCAGATCCACAGATCGAACATACTGCTATAGCTATAGGTCTCCGTGGAAACTCTGGTGGCATAGGGGTTAAGAGTTCGGCTGCTAACCAAAATGTCGGCAGTTTGAATCCACCAGGCGCTCCTTGGAAACCCTCTGGGGCAGTTCTACTCTGTCCTGTAGGGTCACTAGGAGTCCGAATCGACTCGACGGCAACGGGTTTTTGGTTTTTTTTTCCATAGGTCACTGTACTCCCAGCCCAAGTTGGTTGAGAAGTCAAAAGAGAGAAGATAAGAAGAATATGTGTTGGTTGCTTCACCTTTGCTTAATAATTAACACATATAGTTTATTTTACCTCGGAAATGAGTTTTCATTG